CACGGCCGCCTCCAGGGTGCTCGGGTGGGGCATGTCATCCTACAGTCGGGGCGTTGACCTAAGGAACCCTAAATAAGGAACGAGGCCCCTATTTTCCATAAGTTGAGCTTCGATGTCATATCGAAAACCTGAAGAAAATCCAAGGCAAGCTGCGAAACAATTAAGGAACACGGAGCCCCTCCCCAACGAAAAGGGTTCCTTCTTCATGGCCCCAACTGTACAGGCGGATCCTGGACAAAAACCAAAGACATCCAAAAGATGTTCAAAAAATCGTCCAAACATCGAAGCATCGCCCCCAGACTATGTTTTGACTATTTTCGCAGTGTCCTCCTGTAGAGGGACACGCCCGTCTTAAAACTGTGCCTGTCCATATCCATGGCCCAATTCGGGCGAGAACGACTGCTCAACGAGGACAGCCTTCAGGCTGGCCACACCAGTACTGCAAGCGAGCACCTGCCCATCCAACGCCACGGCAACCTCGCCGGGAGCAGGATACCTCTGGCCCAGAATGAAGCCATCAAGCGAACACGGTCAGTGAAATATTGCATCGTCCGCCGCTTCGGCTGCTGCTGTCCCCCGCGGTCGGCTCTTGGCGTCGACTGCTGGCCGTCTCAGGCCCTGCAGTGGCGTCGGTGGTCACCTCCCGAAGGTTGGTGTGGCCTGCGTTCCGCTTAACGGCTTAGCATGTGCGTGCACTCGGGCTCTGGCGAATGCATGTTCTAACGAAGCTGCGCCAGAGGTCAGTTCTTGGGCGCGGGCGCCGACAGTTGGCTGCTGTTTAGGGCACGGACAAAGCCTTGCGCTGCGGCACCAGATCGAAGCACTCCAGCCTGTCTCATCATCATCACCATCATCACCATAATCGCCATCATCACCATTATCACCATTATCACCACACCGCCATCTCATCATCATCATCATCATCATCACCATCATCATCATCATCATCATCATCATCATCATCATCAGCATCATCATCATCAGCAGCAGCAGCAGCATCATCATCAGCATCATCATCAGCAGCAGCAGTAGCATCATCATCATCATCATCATCATCATCATCACCAGCATCATCATCATCATCATCATCATCATCATAATCATCATCATCATCATCATCAGCATCATCATCATAATCACCATCATCATCATCATCATCATCATCATCATCATCATCATCATCATCCTCATCCTCATCATCAGCATCAGCATCATCATCAGCAGCAGCATCATCATCATCACCACCACCACAACCACCACCACCATCATCATCATCATCATCAGCAGCAGCAGCATCATCATCATCATCATCATCATCAATAGCAGCATCATCAGCAGCAGCAGCATCATCACCATCATCACCATCAGCATCATCATCAGAATCAGCATACTCATCAGAACCATCATCGTTACCAGCAGCAAAAGCAGCAGAAGTATCAGCATAATCAGCATCGTCGTCATCATCAGCAACAGCAGCATTGACGCCGTTGTCAGCAGCAGCATGATGATGCTGATGGTGATGATGCCGATGAAGATGCTGATGCTGATGATGCTGCTAATGTAGATGCCGGTGATGACGCGATGATGTTGATGCTGATGTTGATGGTGATGGTGATGGTGATGATGATGGTGGTGATGGTGATACTGGTGATGCTAATGGTGATGATGATGATAATGATGATGATGATGATGATGATGATGATGATGATGATGATGATGATGATGATGATGATGATGATGGTGATGGTGATGGTGACGGTGATGATGATGACAATAATGATGATGGCGGTGGTGGTGGTGGTGATGGTGATGGTGATGATGATGATGGTGGTCATCATTTGCATCACCATCCTTCATCGCCATCGTTATCAGTATCGTCAACACCACCTTCATCAACATCCTGCTCCAACATCCTAGTCCCCTCCTCCGTCTGACGATCTCCGACCTCAATATCATCCTGTTCCGCATCCTGATCCTCCTCCTCCTTCTTCTCCTCCTCTTCCTTCTCTTTTCTCCACCATCGCTCCTCATTCTGCTGGTCTTCCTCCTCCCAAGCTCCTGGCAGGAGGAGGGAAAAGGGAGGCCGACGAGGACACGAAAGAGGGAGTGGCCGAAGGCGAGGGGGCGGATCAGCAGTAGGGAGAGGAAGGGGGAGGGCGAAGGGATCGGTGGGGCGAAGAAAGGGGAGGAGAAGGAGGGCCAAGAGGAAGAGGAGAGAGACGAGAGATTGAAGGGCCCAAGGAAAATCCAAGGGTTCGCCATAGTGTCATCTATGTTCTGGGTTTTCATCTCCCCACACACACACACTTCCCATAGTTTCCCATACCTGTCTGGGGATCGACAATTACTTATGTCTGTGTGCGTTCCCCTCCTGAGAGACAGGGGGAATGGAGGCCGCACACATTCGGTCGCAGTACAGTCCTCATGCCACCAAATAACAGAACGCCTCACAAGGAACGAAGGGGGCGTTTCTGGTCAAGGCGAGCCTCGTCCACAAACAGGTTCCTCCTTCTCCTCCTCCTCCTGCTCCTCCTCCTCCTGCCTCCTCCCCCTCCTCCACCTCCTCCTTCTCCTCCTTCTCCTCCTCCCCCCCCTCCTCCTCCTCCTCCTCCTCCTCCTCCTCCTCCTGCTCCTCTTCCTCCTCCTCCTCCTCCTCCTCGTCCTTCCTCAGTCTCTGACTCAGACCTGGGGAACGGCCCGAGCACCCAAGCCCCTCCTGAGCCCAAAGCGGTCCTTATTTCAGCGTCTTGACTGTGGACGTAGACGGCGTCGAAGGAGCGCGCTGTATCGCCGATGCGTCGGCGACGTCAGCGATGCGGCATCCGACCCCATCTGCTTCGGCCCCACCTGGGTGGCCTAGTGGGAAAGGGAGGAGGAGCGGGGAGGAGGGTAGGAAAACTGATCGCGCGTCGTGTCATCAAACTGTACAGAGCGATGGCGCAACGCTGTCGCACCTTAAAAACCTCGCAAGACGGTTGAGCCGTGCGTGGATCAGCGCTGCTTCACCTGGGGTCCGCCCATGGTCGTGTCGATGCGCTTGTCCATGATGCCCCAATTCACCTTCTCGAACATGCCGTCCACGTCGTCGCGCTTGGCGACCAAGAGCGGGCGCTTGCCGTACGGCACGGAAGTGTACAACTGCACCGCCAGACCACCAGGGCTCATGTCGGCGGCCAGCCAGACCCAGCCCTTTCCGTCGTCTTTTACTTTCTGAGTCTCGTCCTTCCCGGGGCCGCCCTTGACGACGTGCTTGCCCAGCTTCATCTGCTCCTTGAGGCCCGCAATGCCGACGGAGATGTCCCTTTTGCCGATCCCCCCGGGGGGCGGGCCCTTCCACTGCCCGCTGTAGCGGGTGAACGTGCCCTTGTCGTCCCACACCCCGTGGAAATGCTTCACAATAATAGAAGAAGAAAAAACAGCATAAACATAAACTTTTTGCGCTCCGCGCGGAGGGGGGCACAGCGCGGATCCAAGAAATCCGCGCGGAGCGCCAGTAGTTTATGCTTACGGCGTTTGTATTCCTCTTCGAGATGAGCTCCGCCGTGATGGAACCCTTCGGGGGGTCGCCGCCAGACCCCGAGATCGTCTCCTCGTAGAACGCCTGGATGTCGGCGTCGCTGACGTCGTACTCGTCGCCGCCGCGCGCGGCGAGGGCCACCTGCCCCCGCGCGGCGGCCACCGGGGCGGCCGGACGAGCCGAGGGCGCGGGCGCCAGGAAGGCACTCGACAGGAAGCAGAGCCCGAGCGCGGCGGCCAGGCAGGCCGGCAGCGCGGTGCCGCGGAGGGGAGCCATGGCAGCACGCGGCCGGGCGAACGGCGTGGTCGAGCAGACTCTGCCTCTGATGCCAAACCAAAAGCTGCGGAGGGGAAGGGGGGAGGGTGATAGAGGGTGAGGGGGAGGGGGGGCAGGGAGCGCTGGATGGGGTGAGGTGGCGGTTCTTGAATCTTCCTGCTGTAGAGGGACATGCCCGACTCAAGGATACCCCCCCCCACGCCCGCGAAGGAATGCTGGCGCCGTGCGCCAGACTTCAGGGTACACCGCCACGCCCCAAAAATACCCAAAAATAGTCAAACGTACTCGAAAAATAGCCCCCAGCCAATTTTTGGACTACTTTTGAAAATTCCTCCCGCAGGTTTGGACGCCCGAAATGGGTATGGAACAAATGGGTACAATGCCCAACAACAAATGCTTGTCCCAAACCAACAGCGGCCGCTGTTGGGCAGGCGAACTTCTGTCTCGAATGGACACAGGCCGCGGCGGAGCGGACAGCGAGGCCCGCTCAAAATGAACAGGAACTGCTGTTGGGCATTGTACCCATTCTTTCCGTGCCCGTTTCGCTCGTACAGAGTACCCAGAGCTCCTGGCGCTGCGCACGCTGAAAATCACGACGGGAGGCTTTTCGCCACTTCCGGCCTCCAGGGGCCGTCCTTGGACTGCTTTTGAAAACTCCTCCCGCAGGGGGACGTGCCCGACTTCACCCCCGGGGCCGGCAGAGTGCGGGACTGGAACATGACCACAGCCACTGCTCCTTGTCCTTGTTTTTTGACCCCTCCGAGGCAGAGGTATCTCAAGCCCAAAACGACAGTGTGGAATAGCATGGGCGACAACATTCGGTATCGCACCAACTGGGCGATTAGACCTGCTTGGTATAGGGACGGAAAGCGCGGGTTCTTCCTGCCAGGGCGCGAGGTCGCTAACTAGTGCCTTAAAGCTCTGCTGGTGTAGACTCGTACTTCCTTGTCCTTGCTTGCGCCGCCTCCCAGCCGGCCGAAAGAGAAGCCGCGGTTGTGGTCGTTTCCCTGGTGTCGGGAGCGGCCAAGAGGGGGGTGTCCAAGAGGGGGGTGTGCAAATCATGACCGGCGGCATGTGCGCGACCCAGCGGGGCGGCCAGGGACGTAATGAAACAAGAAGAGGCGCCATGAAATCTGGGGAGATATCATGGCCCCCGCCATGATATCCACCCCCCCCTAGTCATCACCCCCCTCTTTTCCGCCCCCGATGGTGCCGAGAGCTCCGCGGAGATGACCGCAGCCACCGCTATTCTTTCTGCGGGCTGGGAGAGGCAGCAGCCCGAGGCAACACTGCACCGACCGTGCGGAGGAGGAGGAGGAGGAGGAGCGAAGAGGATGAGGAGGAGGAGGAGGAGGAGGAGGAGGAGGAGGAGGAGGACGAGGAGGAGCGAGGAGGAGGAGCGAGGAGGACGAGGAGGAGCGAGGAGGAGCGAGGAGGACGCTGCAGAAGGAAAGCAGCGGCTGTGCTCGTCTCCACGCCCCGTACAGGAGGCGTACAGCAGCGGGGCGCGCGCACCGCTCTCCTCGGCCTCTGGGCCCGGCCTCCCGGCCGGGGTCCGCGGGCCGACAGAGGGCCCCCGTGCCCAGCAGGCGGAAGAGGCAGCACTGCACCGACCGTGCGGAGGAGGAGGGAGGAGGGGGGGGAGGAGGAGGAGGAGGAGGAGGAGGAGGAGGAGGATAGGAGGAGGAGGGAGGAGGGAGGAGGAAGGAGGATGGGAGAGGAGGAGAGGGAGGGGAGGAGGAGGAGGAGGAGGAGGAGGAGAGGAGGAGGAGCGAGGAGGAGGAGGACGAGGAGGAGGAGGAGGAGCGAGGAGGACGAGGCGAGGAGGAGGAGGAGGAGGAGGAGGAGCGAGGAGGACGAGGAGGAGGAGGAGGAGGAGGATGCAGCGGTTTCTGGCGTGGATATTTCCTTCTGCGCGAAACCCCGAAACGGCGAGCGAAACAAGACATGAATTTCACGTGGGTGTCCTTTAGTCGTCATTCCTGGCCGAACAAAATCCCCACGATGTTAACATTGAAATCCGGAACGAAATTCTCCTGGACAATCTGGGCCCATGCCTCTGTTTTCCAAACGAAATCCGCTCTACGATGTTGGCGCAATGAGAAGTAGGTAGAAACATGAAGTAGGAGTTGAAAGAAGATTGCGTGTCCACCCGCCCCCTAAAGAGGACGGAAAAGGCGAAGCCACTCGACCATTGAAGTAGGATGGCGCTTATCAAGTAGATTGGCAGCTGGGAGTCCAAAAATACCAATTTCAACGACCGATGGGTACATGGACATTCGGTGAGACGCACTGAAAACAGTTTGGAGCATCCCAGAAGCCTGGAGCATCACAGAGGTCTGCTTCCGAGGCTTCTCGGAACACGATGGTGCAGCGCGCGGCCCAGAAGGAATGACCAGGAGACTCGCAGGCGCGGCCCGGGCTGGCCAGGGAAGGGCAAGACGGCCAAGGAGGGCTCGTGAGCGTTCTCGCATTCGGCGCTTCACCATTGAGCGACGAGGGGGAGAAGGGGAGGGGGTCCGGCTCCAGACCTCCGCTCGGTGCGACTGCTTGCGACTGTTTGCGTCCTGTGCGGGGGAGACTCCACCTGCGGAAACGGCCAAGGTCTACTCCATGGGCCAAGAAGGGGTGGGAGGGGGGGGCGCGAGGGCCCGCGCCGATCGGCCAAAAACAGCAACAGCAACAACAACAACAACATCAACAACAACAACAACAACAACAACAACAACAACAACAACAACAACAACAACAACAACAACAATTACTAGCACGTGGGGACACTCCGTTCTCACCAGTGCCAGGGTTTTCATAGGAGGCGGGCAATACCCCCACTTTGTGGGGGGGCCGGTTCAAGCTCTACCAAATTACCAAACGACTCTTCGCCACCACCCACACCCAACTTCCCGCCCTATGACGTTCGGACACTTCACTTCGTGGCATGCGGACGACCGTGGCTACTATTCAGGGCCCCGCGGCCGACGACGACGGCGTGCGCGCGCGAAGAAATAACGAATGTGTCCCGCATGGTATTATTTGACAGGGATGATGGCCCTGGCAGTAAAGAAAAAATACAAAAAATCACAAAAAAACAAAAAAAAAACTACCAATTTACAAACAAAAAGGAAAAGTAGGCAAAGAAAAGAAAACATATAAAACAAAAAAAAAAAAAAAAAAAACAAAAAATTTCTCGACAGCAAACAAGACACATTGAAACCACCAAAAACACAAAAAATGGGGTGTAAAAGTCGCGCAACCTTATGATTGCAGAAGTTCGGAAACAAAAAAAAAAAAAAACAAAAAAAAAAAAAACAAAAAAAAAAAAAAAAAAAAAAAATACAAAAAAAAAATATAACAAAGAAAAAAAAAAATAAAAAAAAGTAAAAAAAAAAAAAAAACGAAAAAGAAAAAAAAAAAAAAAATAAAAAGAAAAAAAACAATAAAAAAAACAAAAAAAAAAAAAAAGAAAAAAAAAAAAACAAAAAAACGAAAAAAAAAAAAAAAAATAAGCACGTGAAAAAGTTGCTCGCAAGAGCCCGTTTGACAGAAATGATTAAAAAGTGCTGGGTTTCCTAAGAAATCCGCAAGAGCGCGCGGGGTGAATTTTTGAAACCCTTTTTTTGAAAAACCATTGAATTTTTCATGTTTTATTTGAAAATCGCTACGAAGACTAAGGTTTTGGAAGGATTTCGTCTTGCGCGCGCGAATGTGCACTTCGTGTCATTTGTTGCAAGGGTTTCTTGAAGTTTGGTCATGTTAGAACAAGAAATGTCAATTTTGCCTTATTTTTTGCAAGGGAAAACCGATCGTAACAACACAACCGGATCCGGACACCCACGTTTTGCCTGAGACTTCCTCACGAAAATGATGAAAATGTGGCTGCGGCCTAGGCGCGGCGAGGGGGCCGCGCACCAGGGGTCCCAACAATAATTATTCTTTAGAATTAATAATGTTCAACAACAACAACAACAACAACAACAACAACAACAACAGCAGCAGCAAGAGCAACAGCAACAGCAACAGCAACAGCAACAGCAATTGCAACAACAACAACAACAACAACAACAACAACAACACCAACACCAACAATAATAATAACAACAACAACAACAACAACAACAACAACAACAAGATCACCTCCAGGACGACCACACGGAACCTCGAGCCGCGGTCCTCGAGGCCCCCTCCCTCCCTCCCTGGGCACTGGGCGCCAGAGCGAAGCCCAGCGGATGCCTGTGCCGGCCCCCCCCGCGGGGCCCTCCCCCGGGGCTGGCTCTTCATCCCGAGCGGTCGTTCCCAGGCGGCCCCAGGGCGCGAGGCCGGGGCCCTCTGGGGCCCAGAGGAGTGCACGAGTGCAGCCGCGTGTCCGTGGCCGAAGGAGCATGAGGGCCCCGTAGACCCGGACACGCTGGACCCGGACACCCAATATCCCTCGAAACCAATGTTTCCAAACGGCGGCACGAACAAAGTACTGCACTGCAGCACTTCCAGAATAAGCCCGGACACAGGCCCCAAAAGCCTGCAAGACCCCCCTTAACCCGGACACGCACCCGAATCCTGCAGTGCAGCAAACAAAATATGCACGGGTGCTGAAAAACGTGACTTTGCAGGAAAGGATGTCGTTTCCTTGGTTTTCCGTGTTCCGGTTTATCTGTGTCCTGGTCTCCGGGGGCCAGAGAGCAATGGCACCATCGTGCGCCAGACAGCACTGTCAACCAGTATAGTAAGGATGCTCGACAAGGATGCAAGGGCCCTGGACGCGGACGCCCCCTTCGAAGCTATTCGAGCGGGGCGCGGCCAACGAAAGTGGCCAAGGGTGGACCGAGGAGGCGAGGACGCAAGGGTAAGCTTGGGAAGGCCGCCCGTCCTAACTCTGCGAGTTGACTGTACACCTGCGCACGGCCGCTTCTCCAGGCTTCCGCTGGAGACGTGTGCCCAGGCTTGACGTGCTGCAACCAGCACTCTGGCCAAACTGCTGCGCATGCCTGTGCATCTCTGGCGTC